ATAATCTCACGAAAAATGGAATATGATCTCAAAGGCCAAGACTGGGATTATGTTCACATTAAGTGACCCAGAAGGGCTGAAACTACCTGTCACATTTCATACAGGAATGTCTCCATGACAAATAGAGCTCATATAATGATACAAAATATGTGAGTGAAATATATGTAGAAAGGTAACAATTCTACCCATTTAATCACCTTGACATGAACCTGACTTGGAAAGTATCTGGAAATTTCAGGTGGTATAAAATGCCATCCCTAGATTGCTAATTTTTGTAAGGTATTGGAATGATACATTATTTTTTTTCCAGTTGCCAAAATGTCACATTGGACATAAATGAAGTGTTGATTTACCTTTGAAAGTCCTAAATATCTTGGAACTTGGCTGTTCAAAGACTCCCTGTTCAGATACCAAAGTCAGCAGAAAAAGGTGCTTCCGGAAGTGCCCTCACTTTTGTTAGCAAATCTAGAAGGTTCTCTCTTGTGTCTCTTCCTGCTTATGGGATGCTCTTTATCTAGGAGGGCATTTTGCTCCTGTTCTGTTTGCTCTTAGGAAATGTATACAGATATATTTTGCCAGACTTTCCATGGTTATGATTTTATTACTTACTATTAGTGTTTTAACTTTTTTTAAAAGTGTGTTTCTTTTGACTTATCAACAGCGAGCTGTACTGTGTCAGTTCTTCACCAACAGAAAAGCGGCCCGTGAATAAAATAATAAATAAATAAATATAGAAAGCATATGAGAAAACATGCATTCCGGTCACACTTCTAGACATCCTGGTCTAGAAACTGAGCGTCAGAGGAAAAGTGCTAAGAAGTGATTGTAAGGAATGGGCAAAGAGCCCAACAAACTTTCTGCATATCTGAAGTGCAGACTTATTTCCATAGTCCAGAAGTCCGTTGGGAGAATAAGAGTGGAGGTAGTTAGAAGTTCAGCCAAAACATACTAGAGCAACCCTTAAAGATTAACTTGGCTAAAGCAAGCATACAGAAAGGCTTCTGACTAGGGGCCTGAGTTTTGGTCTAATTAGATTATGAACAAACTTTTCTGAAGACAAGGAGGAAGTTTTAAGAGTACTGCTAAGAAAAACAAGGTCGCTCTTTATTATTTCATTGTGATAGCTCCTTATTCTTCTCCCAAAGGTTAAGCTAAGCAATAGACTTAGACTAACTTTATTATCACTACTGTACTCTAATCGGCAAACATTAAAATGCAAAATTGTCACGATTATTTGCTTCACCAAATGGTAGCCTGGTTTTTTTTTTTAAAAAAAGTATCATGTATAGCATGAATTGATGAGCTTTTTTTCTTGATTAAAAGGTATGCAACTTTGAGTAGAATAAAGGCATTGTTATCCAGTTTTATGAGTCCCTTAAGTGCTGGGAATCCACTGTAACATTTTTCACCTTAATTGATTGCATAAAGTAGTTAAAATATCAACCAAAACATGTACATCTCATGCATACTGATAATTCCATTTTAATGAATGGATGATAAAATTGTGTTAGGATCCAATCTGGGTCAGTCTCCAGGACCAGAGGTTTTATCTTCTGAGTTTTTAGACTCGTGCTGGAGCTCATCTTCAAAGAACTTCTCTCTAGTGCTAGAGAGAAGTTCCCTGAGGTTGGGCTTCAGCACAAGTCCAAAAGCTCATAAGACAAAACCTCTGGTCCCAGTGAGTGACCAAGATTGGCTCCTGCAGCATTACCCTGGGACACATACATTCACCTTCATTCGTAAAATTGTGTTGACTACAGATGTAATATTGGGAAGCCAATGTGAAACTGAACCTCAATCAAACAGAGGGAGAGAGGGTGTCTGTTAATCTCCATTTCTGTTATTGTCAGCTTCAGAGAATGTCAATTCAGCACTGTCATTACACCAATGAAGGAGATTGTGTCATTTGCACCATGTTTATGCAATTGGTTTAATGACACCATTATGAAAATGCTGTGGATAAAAGAACAATATCAGCCATTGCATCCAGAAGACAGTGAAGTTCCATGCTATCTAATGGATTTCAGTGGATTGGAAACCATGGTTATTTAAGTCGGTTGGTGCAGAAATTTCCTTTATTACAGATGGTTTTGGGGCCTTTCTAAAAGACTGGTTTGAAGGTGGCTTGGTCTGTCCACATGTAAATGGATTTCTTCCAGTCTTTGTGGATAAAGGAGAGCTGTTTGTCAGAAGACATTGCCTTATAACAGAGCGGAATAATTTTTTGCCTAGGTAACTCTGCAGCATGATTACCTATGCAAGCAATATTGTACTGACAACTAGTGGCAAATTATAGACATTAACAAGTATCAAAGGCAGGAAGGGGAACTAAGCATAAATGTAAATAGAAGAAGCTGTTACCCTAAATTAGCTAAGCCATGGCAAGGCAAGCATATATATTTATTATGTATGAGATTCGCAAGTCTGCTTTAAAGACATGCAATAGTTAATTTGTTCACTCCATTAGTAGAGCAAATGATTTTAAATATAAAATGAATTAGGATATTTATTTACTGATATTATTTGTATATTAAGTACTCTTCTTCGTGAGTACTGAGCTTAAAATACTAACATAAATTGAAGTTAACCAAATGATTGCATTAATGAGTTTTCATTCTGTTTTTCTATTTACAGCTTCAATTTTGTGTATGTTTCTTCCAGATTAACTATCATTTAACTCATTATAGTGATCCAGGAAATGATGCATGGGAGTGGTCTGTGAGATAAAGACAATAAAGACAGAACTAAACTAATAATTAGTTTTTAAAAAAACTGTTCTAGTTCACAGGACAAACAGTGTGCTTCTCATGCTCATATCCTTATTTATTTTTAAATTCTTGAATATCGGATGAGTAATCATGTTTTTCCCTCTTAGATTTAGAAAATGATAAATTTCAGTCCATTCCAAAATTAAGCTCTTTGTCATTCCCTCACTGCGTGGAGACATTTATTTCATTTATTATTTATTTGTCAAAAGCTTACAATATAACAGAAACAAGAATAAACATAAGTTTAAATACAATAAATAGGTACTAATAATTGGAGACAATAGGACAGAGACGGTAGACATGATTGTGCACTTTTGCACGCCCCTTACAGACCTTTTAGAAATGGGGTGAAGTCAATAGAGGTTAGTTTGAGGGTAAAGGAGTGGGGGTTTGAGCAGGTGACAACAGAATCAGGTAGTGAGTTCCAGACATTGACGACTCTGTTGTTAAAATCGTACTTCCTGGAATCGAGTTTGGAGTGGTTTACATTTAGTTTATATCTGTTGTGCGCTCTAGTGTTGTTGTTAAAGCTGAAATATTCATTAACTGTAGACATGTAGGACTGAATTTTCACTAGGCTAATTTTTGGGTTTGTGCCTGAATTGATGGGATAGATAGGAGTCTGTGTGTATATATATGTGCTGGAAACTGATCAAGGAGAGATTCAACCTAGAAATAAGAAGAAATTTTTCTGACAGTGAGAACAATCAACCAATGGAACCATTTTCCTTCGGAAGTTGTGGGAGCTTCATCACTGGAAGCTTTCGAGAAGAGACTGGAGTGCCATCTGTCAGAAATGGTGTAGGGTCTCCTGCTTGGGCAAGGGAGGTTGGACTAGATGATCTAGGTGCAAGGTCCCTTCTAAATCTATTATTCGGTTAATCTCTTTTTGTGTGTGAGAGAGTATTTATTTATTTGAGAGGAGGATTATTTTGTTTTTCTCACAGTGATTCAAAGAAGCTTGAAATGATCATAGAATTGTCAACAATGCAAGCAGTGCTATAGATTTTGCCCTTTTTTTTGCTTTAAATTAAAATGTTCACCGTTAATGATGATGATAATCGTAATCGTTATATTTATATTGCATCTTTATTTTGCACAATTCGGCACAATTGCTGAAAGACTTATGTGTACACAAACTCATGACTCAGATTATGATAAGGGTAATTTGCAGTATCACGGCTGTGCAGGGTTTCACAAAAGTACTTTGCAATGAAAAGGAGCTCAGATACAGCATTTATGGGCAACTTATTAAATTAACCACATTTTTCCCCCAGGATCGCAGCACAATCGCAGCACAAATATATAGAGACCCCTCACATCCTGGACTTAATCTGCTTCAACATCTCCCCTCAGGACACTGCTATAAGGCATTGTATGCCAAAACAACCAGACACAAAGATAGTTTTTCACCCTCCATGCCATCACTCTGCTAAACACCTAATTGCCACAGCCGTGTCTTATGCCTAAGGATATCTAACCATATGGTAGAGCTGTATTACTATTATCCTTCTCATCTTTCATATTATCTACTCCTATTGGTACCTTTTGACTGTCACTTTGTTGGTTTTATCTTACAATTTATGATTGTATGTTATGATTTATCACTTTCTTGCTTGTATGGACACTGATAGCTGATCCACCAGAGACAAATTGCTGATGTGTCCAGTTACACTTGGCCAATAAAGAATTTTCTATTTTGTATCATTTTCAATTTTGTTCTGTTCTGTTTGTTCTGTTTTGTTCTACTGTACTCTACTCGTCTCTACTCTTCTCTTCTCTACTCTACTCTACTCCTACTCTACTCTACTCTACTTTACAGACTATTCTATTCTATTCTATTCTATTCTATTCTATTCTATTCTATTCTATTCTATTCTATTCTATTCTATTCTGTTAACATAATCCCTCACAGAGTTTCCCTAGAGAATCTTGAATGAACAATTGAAGAAACTTTCTGCCATTGCTCATTATTTTTAGGGAGAGATATTACATTGTGTCCTCACGATCAAAGTGGAAGATTAAATCCCATATTTGCCTTATTCCAAAGGAATCAATTTTCTCAGATCAGCTGGCTCCTATTTCTCTCCCAAGTCCTGGAAATAATTCCTATCTAATGCATTTATCTGGTAGGTTCTTAATTGACCTTGGTTTCATGTTCAAAACTGTGTTCAACCTTCAGTTTTTGATGCATCATAAACTTTATTTTTGCTTTCCTCCCCCACCCCCCAGGCCTTGAGCTACCTTTCATGATGATGCCCCATCCGCTTATTCCGGTCAGCCTGCCCCCAGCATCCGTCACAATGGCCATGAATCAGATGAACCACCTTACCACAATTGCAAATATGGCTGCCGCAGCACAAGTACAGGGCCCTCCCTCTCGAATGGAGACATCTGTGATTAAGGTAAGTATGGTCTTGGTCCTGCTCCCAATGTACCGGTATCTTTCTTGGCCTTTCTGATATGTGTCTTTTGTTCATTAATTTTGTTTGTAAACCATCCAGTTTGGGTTGCCACAATGTAAAAAAAGATGTTGAGATTCTAGAAAGAGTGCAGAGAAGAGCAACAAAGATGATCAGGGGGTTGGTGGCTAAAACATATAAAAAATGATTGCTGGAACTGCGTATGTCTAGATTAATGAAAAGAAGGACTAAGGGTGACAGGATAGCAGTGTTCCATTATCTCAGGGGATGCCACAAAGAAGAGGGAGTCAAGCTATTCCCCAAAGCACCTGAAGGCAGGACAAGAAGCAATGGGGAGAAACTAATCATGGAGAGAAGCAACTTAGACCTAAGGAGAAATTTCCTGACAGTTAGAATAGTTAATCAGTGGAACAACTTGCCTCCAGAAGTTGTAAATGCTCCAACACTGGAAGTTTTT